GGAGCGGCCTTGCCTTGAATACTGAAGCTTTGTCTGCTGCCCGTAGCTCGAGCCAGCTAGCTAGAAGCAGGTAGGCTAGAAGTTTCTGTTACAGCCGTACAGTACCTCAACAACAGACGATAGCTGCTGGGAGAGGATTGTACGTTGCCAGGTATGAGAGCATTTGTGGGTTTCGAATAGCAAGATGAGGAAAGACGAGCACTTCAGATTGATTGAGCATTCGATTCGATTCAATCGAATGCCTGACGATTGACGTGTTTGAGAGGGTAAGAAAGTCATCAGGAGCGTTCCTCAATCGTGCATGAAACCGACCCTAAAATAGGGTCGGATTTAGGGTCGGATTCCCTTTAGGGTCGGGTTTCGAAACCGACCCTAAAAATAGGGACGTTTTCTGAAAAATAGGGACGGTTTCTGAAAAACCGTCCCTAATTTAGGGTTGGGTTTCATTTTAGGGTTCGGTTTGAAAAACGTCCCTAAATAGAAACGGGACTGCCTGGTAAATACATTGAAAACGCACCAATATTAGGGTCGGGTTTCGAAACCGACCCTAAAAATAGGGACGTTTTCTGAAAAATAGGGACGGTTTCTGAAAAAACGTCCCTAATTTAGGGACGGGTTTCGATTTAGAGTCGGGTTTCGAAACCGTCCCTATATTTAAGGGCAGATTCCCCCAAACCGACCCTAAATTAGGGTCGGATTTAAAGTCATGCACGATTGAGGAACGCTCCAGTCATTCAAAAGAACCAGGATCCCGGCGTACGAGAACATGTACTGTACAAAGGAACTTAGTAGGATCACTTTTACCGTACGTACATGTAGATATCATAGTATCTTTCGGCTACCGTACAGTACGGTGCTACTACTATTAATACTAGCTAATAGTACGGTACCTTGCGTACCGTACTGGTACCGGTACTTGCCAGTCTTCGAACACTTGATCTTGGAAGTTCACCGAACGTTAACGACAGCTTTTGAAGGCATGAATCGATGACCGAGCTACCGAGCTTTCTCGCTGGCATCTTTTTGAACCCTCACCACGAATGTTCAGTATTCCGAGTTCATGTTCCAGGAACATGTGCATGTACCGGTACATACAATGTCATGTACTGTGTACGGGTTGGGGAACCCGGCCGTAGCTCGCAGCGTAGACATTCCGTATGCACGAGTTTTAAGAAAACACTCACCAGGACCGTCCGACGGTTTTCACTCAGGATTTTAAAAAAACTTAAAATTCCCACGACTGTGGACCATTTAAAACATGCCCTTAACATGCCCTTAAATCTTCAACATGCCCTTCAACATGCCCTTAAATAAACATGCCCTTTAACATGCCCTTAATGCCTCAAAACATGCCCTTAAGCCTTCATTGAAACACCATAGAACATGCCCTTATCAGGAATAAACATGCCCTTAAATAAACATGCCCTTAAAACATGCCCTTAAATCGGCAACATGCCCTTAAACATGCCCTTAATAAACATGCCCTTAAAACATGCCCTTAATCGAACCAGTCGTGGCAGCTTTTTTAAAGCCTGAGCGAAAACCGTCGGACGGTCCAGGCTACCGGCACAGATAGCTGACTTTTCCAGAAAGTACAAATAGCTAGCTAGCTGGCTAGTAGAGCTATGCATTCCGGTAGCCCGCCACACCGCGGAAAAGCGTCTGGAAACTACCAGGTATCTGGTACAAAGTCTTGCGAACTCACGCTACCTTCCTCTCCTTAAAAAAATTCTAGCTAGTGCGAACTTCCAACTTGCTGGCCATGATCTGTTACAGAGAGAGACGGAAAACCTTGTTTGTCATGCTTTACGAGTACGCGATGCCGGCCTTCATTTTCTTGCGCCGTTGCCTCATGTTGCGGTGGTCGTTTCATCATGGGTCATTGAGCGAACGACGGGAGTTTCTTCGTTCCAACCATGCCCCAAAACTGCTGTTGGACTCATGCATGCTACTAGATGCCAGATCCTTATCTTTTCTTCTCAACCATCGACAATCCAAGGCTTCACTGGGACTGTAACGATCATCGGGGTCTACCTGCAACAGATGCATGATCAAATCCTTGGCTGCTGCAGGAATATCTTCCCAATATTCCTCATGAAATTCGTAATTGCCTGCAGTGATCAACTCGGCCAGCTCGCATTCCGGAGCATCAAAGGGGGCATATCCTCCCAAGAGGACATATATAACAACCCCACAACTCCACATGTCGCACAGCTCATTGTACCCATCTTCATGTGTCAACAATTCTGGTGCCACATATTGAGGTGATCCACAGAGTGTTTTAAGACACTTGGGTCCTGTAATCTTCTTCGCACATCCAAAATCAGCCACCTTAATGTGTGTCAAATCATCATCTTTAACGAGCACTGCATGGCAAGAATGTGGATTGTGGTGTGGTGTTCCAATGGCAGGAACGAAAATATATCATGGGTAGTTGAGCAACAAAATCGAACGAGGTGAGCGGAGCATGACGATAACAACAAGCAAAGAGACGTGACAGGAATCCAACTCTGGTGGTGTTGGAATCGCGTCTGTTGGTTGGCTGCATACGTACGGATGTTCTCGGGTTTTATGCTGCCAGGATAAGATCAATTGATTCGATTCGCCAGGAGAAACAAACAGCACAAAACGATAGCATACCCATCGCCATGGTCAGCCAGGAAAAAATAATATGATTGAAAAGCGAAACGTTGCTTCCCTGTCGATCAACTTACTCTCTGTGGCATATCCTCTTCTTGTGGCAGTAATCCAGTGCTTCCACAAGAGTCCTCGAGACTTTCCGTGCATCCCTGGGTTCATAGACTTCAATTTCCGTCAATTTGTCGAGCAAATCACCACCCTTCATAATTTCTTGTACCATCATTGTCCGATCAGGTTCATAGTAGACATCCAAGAGGCGAACGACGTAGGGTCCCTCTCGCAGGAGTTTCAAAGCATTGATTTCCCCACGGACGGATTCCCCCGCTGACTGATAATTATCGGTGGTCAGTATTTCCTTGACAGCATATTCATGTCCATTCTTTTTGTGGGTGCATCGGTAGACAAACGCAAATCCACCCTCTCCGAGAACTTCTCCCATTTCGTAGACATCGTCAAATGGAATGCCACTGGCACTATCATTAACAAGAAGTGACAGCTGGGACACCTTACTGCCCATACCATCCTTTGCACTTTGTTTTTCCAGCACCTTGAGAAAATCTTTTCCTAATTTCCGTTTCGACTTGTCAATACTGGGAGGAGGCGAGAGCGAGGGATCACCAGCTCCAGTGCCACCATTCTGAATAGATAATGACTGAAGACTACCCTCTAGTACATCAGCGGCACTTTTCCTGGGCTCTCCATCTTCATCGTGGAACGAGTCTTCCCCGTCAGTGGAAGCATCATCTGCCTTGCTTCCGTTGCCAAGATCCAAAATGCTGATGGAATGCCTGGACACATCATTCTCACCCCCAGTGGACGTCATGACATGTACTTCAATTCGGCAATACGAGAGAGTTGAGTCGTACTTCTGGTGGATGGCACGCAGAAAAAGCGAGCGATAACACCAGGCGGAGTTCAATAGCAGTGGCGCTTGGAAGCAGGGTCGTACCAAGGGCTCACGGTCACCGTCCGAGATTTTGGTCCTCTTCGCTCGCTCACTGCACCCTTCCAGTGCAGCTAATCTCTTGGAATTGCCCAGGAGGACGGTGTGGAGCTACCAACAATCTGCGAGAGATAGCCACAGCGTCTTGGGTGGTGAAGAGCTCCAGGATGATGACGAGAGCCTCACTCTAACACCACCTTATCTAGCTAGCTAGAGCCGCATGAAACTGGCACGGTGCGTCCGAGCTGCGACGACGGTCATAGCCATTGGAGGGAGGGAGTGAAGAAAATAACAAATGTCATTAAATCTCCTGGGCTAAAGCTATTAATGCTTCATCGTTTTTAGCCCCGGTTAAATGCCTCAGTTTCAAAGTTATTAATTAAGGTCCCTCTGAACCGAGTGGCGATGCTGGTAGTGACTGGATGCAAAAACGGGTCACGGACTGAGGGACCAGTGCCAGCTTTTGGATTTCGGCACTAGCTAGTAGCTAGCTAGCTAGCTAATAGTACTGGCTAGCTACAGTCGTATTGTGGAATTTCGTAGTTACCATTGAGAAAGTCACGGTCAACTTCAGGTTTACCATTGATCATTTGTAGAAGCACAAATCAAAAGCAGCAATGTTGAGAAGTGAGATTCTTGTTCTGGTCTTGGCCTGGCTTGGTCTTGTGGCGGGAGAAATGCCGACGCATAAGTTTTCCAACTGGGATAACATGCCACTACTCGGGCTTGGAGTGAGTTGTTGCTTCCGCTTGGCAGCTGATGATGAAGATTTTGCCCAATCTGGTCGAATGTCGTTCAATCACCTCCTTACATAAACTAATCTGCTCATCCGCCTTCTTCCTGACCTATCATTGTTTTTTGCTTAGACCTGGAAATCCGAGCCCAGCGAAGTCAAGACAGCCGTCAAGGAAGCCATCAAGCTGGGTTACAGGCACATTGACTGTGCTGCCATTTACGGCAATGAAAAGGGGGTAGGTGAAGCCCTTGTGGAAAGTTTCAGTGAGGGAATTGTCAAACGAGAGGACATGTGGATCACGTCCAAGGTGTGGAATGACAGCCATGAACAAGTGTCCACAGCCCTGAAAAAAAAACTCTGGCTGATTTGCAACTCGATTATGTGGATTTCATAAACTTGGAAGAATTCTCGCAAATCACCGCATCAAACCGGAAGTCAATCAGGTGGAACGACACCCCTATCTGCAACAAAAACACTTGGTGCAGTTCTGCAGAATGAATGGAATTCTTGTTACCAACTATTCCAGTATGGGATCGGGTGATCGCCCCGCAGCATTCAAACCCAAAGGAGAACCCGTCTTGTTGGAAGATGCCACGGTAAAGGAAGTGGCAGCTGCCGTGGGTGCTACTCCTGCCGGTGTCTTGTTGAAATGGGGTATCCAACAGGGTTCTGCGGTCATCCCAAAGTCGGCCAATCCTGATCGTCTAAAGCAAAACTTGGAGGTTCCAGAAACTGTCCAATTGGACGATGCCGCCATGGAGAAACTGAACGCCATGGATATACATCGTCGTTATGTAGATGGCGCTTTTTGGGCACTATCAGGAAGCGCGTACACGGTCGAGACCTTGTGGGACGAAGTAGGAGATCCATTTCAAGAGGAACTCTAGATATGTACCATTTCGTTACAAACTATCTAGCTTCAACCCATAATAGCTAGAGTTTCAGAGACGCTCTCTGCTGACCGTTGCTAAAAGACCTGAATGACAACTCAGAAGCATGAAGGTGGGATTCTTGCAAACCTGTAGGTTTATATATATTGACAGCAGTAGACTCGACTTGTTTCAATTTCTGCAACACTGGCTGGTCGGCACAGCCCTTGAATACGTCGCCTTCACTAGTAGTCAGTGGCAAGAGATGTAGCGTTTATTCTCAATTTGGGACCGCACGCCTCCCCTGATGAACCTGGCCTTATGAGACAAGTAGTGAGCCACGTCCACTGCTGGCTTCAAATGCAGAGACTCGGTCTTCTTTCGTTTCTTGCGGTCATCCGCTCCTCCTGCCTTCTTGCTGCCCTTGGCTTCCTGTCGACAAACACGGATCAACTGCTGTGTGTCGACTTGAAATGAATTCAAGTCAATGCCCTGCTGATGCAGAAAGTACAAGACTCGTTGCATGTCCGCTTCCCCTGGGCGGTAGTGACCGGAATGAGGATAGAGCATCTCGAGGTAGCCTTGTGCATCAGTGATGAAGATCCCTGCCGCGGCCACAGCTTTGCCTCCAAAGAAGGATGAATGGTGAAAGCGCTGTCCTGTGGCAGCCGACTTAACCTTCTCGGCTCCATAAATGACGCTGTCTCGGAGCACAAAAATCCAGCCATTGGGTCCAGTAGTGACCGGCTGTCTCTGTCGCGAGACACGGCACTTTCCAGTCTCGTCACGTTCGAGCTCCAATGCATATTGACTCGTAACCTCGGGATCCCTAATGTAGAGGACAGTATCCGAGTCAAGAACGGATCTGGGGCATTCTGGAAGATCGGGCAAAGGTTTTCCAGCAGCAGCACCATTGGAATCGAGCCAGTCAAAGAAATGGTTGGTGGGGTACCCCAAAGATTCCCAATGTCGGTAGTAGAGTCGAAGATTCTTGCCATAACGGTGTTTCGAATCACTTACTTCCAACCAAGCTTTTCGGTGAATCTGGGCGACATTTCCACGGTTGACTCCACTTCGAATAATCTCGGGAGGATTGGCAGAGATCCCTCGATAGGCAATGTCGCCTTGAATGCGTGCTTCAATGGACAGAGGTAGCAGATGTGAGAAGGGTTGTTGTTGGCTTGACTTGGGTGTTGTTTGGGCAGATTCCGAGAAGCAAGTCTCTAGGTTCGTGAGACAAGTCTCAAGTTGAATGACTCGAGAGGTTCGTCTCTGACTTGCTGCCTTTGTTTCCGCTGCGGGAGCGCCTTCGTCCTCTTCTTCAGAGGAACTGTCCCCTTCCTCTACAATCTCCTTGACGCGTCGTGGTTCTTCCACAGGCTCAGTTTCTTCCACGGCCTCATAGAACCTGGTGGCTTCTGCTAGCAGCCGGTTTTGACTACGGCTACGGCAGATGAAGGGGTAGCAATGGCCGCTGTCTCGTAGTGCTGAAGAGTCATGGCTGCTGGATGCATTCATAACGAATCCACAGGTCATTGTGTCATTGTCAGGAATCATTCTTGGCTTCAAAGTAAAATGGGACGTATTTGTCGCCAACAAGCTTGAAACTATAAGAAGACGACGACTGAATTCTTGCTTCTTTCGGATACCAGGAGCCTCGTCATCCTGCAGCACGGTGCTCGACTGAAACGATGAATCTTCTCAAAAAGTGGGACAGATTCCTTTCTCATAGGACTTTTCTTTTGCTGTACTGAAAATTCCACAGTGCCGCATCTTTCGCATGGTACTGGTACCGGTATACGTATGGTGCCGCCTGGAAAGTGTGGCAAAAGCTGAATTCGGCGATACTGACGTCATTTTTCGCTATAGTTTATTGTTGAAACCCGATTTTCGGCTCGAACTGTTTAAATCTTTGGCTCCCACTGTTGAATAATAGGGAAAGTGTTGAATAATGCTTCAACAGTTGTTGAAAAAACTGTTGAATTCGACTCAACAAGTGTTGAATCCGTGTTGAATAATGTGCTGACTGTTGAATAAAGTGTTGAATAAAGTGTTGACTGTTGAAAAAAGTGTTGACCTTGTTGTTGTTGTTGTCGTCGTCGTTGTTGTTGTCGGCCTTGTTGGTGGTGGTGTTGTTGTCGATGTTGCTAGAGGCAAAGCAGTGGCACTCCAGCTAGTCGGATTCGAAGAGGTTGCTGGTTTTGTTGTCAAGAGAGTAGCAAACAACAGCTGTGACTGCTTCAAAGCAAGCTTTGTGTTGGTCTTGAAAATCCGTGCCCTGTTCATATCGAAACGGTGTGTCAAGCACCTTCCACTTTTTAAGCAGATCATTGAACTTCTCTTGTCGCGACTTGGCTCTTTCTTTGAATTTGGCAAGCTCCCTGGGGTCCAACTCATTGTCCGTTGAAACGATGTCCTCTTCGGCCCTGACTTGAAAGATGTTATCTGCAAGAATTCTCAAACCTGGTTCCTTGGAATGTTGTTCATTGTACGCTCGCATTGTTGGAAAGAGTTTCATTCGAGCCACTTCAAGGTCGTTGTACTTTCCTGCTGGCGTTGGGCCAAACAACCAAATGAGTTTGTGGTTGTGGATGCTCAAACCCAACTCATAGTTCAAAGCGGCCTTCCCTCCAAATTTGTGGCTTGACCAAGCAGTTGAGAAAGGACGGGGCTCGTGAATCCGACAATGGGTTCCATCAACTGTCATGAAGAAAATGAATCCTTCATCTACTGCTTCCCAACTAAGAATTTTGTCTTGCAGCAGCATTTGGATCTTTCGGACAAAGGCATCGGTCCAATCTTTGATGGTATGCTTGCTGCCGATGCTAAAGAGAATCATCAAGTCGTCTTGAGTATCGTTGGTGCTGAGATATCGGAGTGCAAGAAGAAGATATCGAGGCTTCATAGTCTTTGCTATTTCTCCACGGACAACAAGATCATTCCAAATTTCTGCACAAGTCAAGGTGGCAGCTCCAAACGCTTTTCGGAATCGATCATCATTTGCGCTTGGTTTCAAATACTCCCAGTGATTCTTCCCCCTTGTAATATCTAGGCCGATGGCAAGGAACTCTCCTGGTGTTAGCTTCAATGATTCAAATTCTAGTTGTTGCTCTGCATTTGATTCCGCCATCGTCTCTATCTATGCTGTTGTGTTTGTGGTGTTGATTGAATCGACAGCGTGGAAGTGCCGATCGGAGCGAAACTTCGAACCAAAGATCTGAAGATATCAATCGTGCACGGATCGCCCAGCTCGAGAACGGTCGGCAGCACGAAAAAGTCCTCCCGCCTAAACCAAAACCATGTAATGCTTAAGTACATTCCGGCTGGCTGGAAATGTATATCTTCAGCTCCGTATTTATTTGCACGGAAGAAAACTTTTCCCACAATTTGCCGGAAAGAGAGCCAATGCTTGGATTTTTCCTGCAAACAATGATGCCATCAACGGAACACTATCAGCCACAATCGATGGACGAGGACTCGGCTGCACAATGACTACAACAACAAGAAGCAAACACAAATCGACAGAGGAGGGCAAGCGGAAGCCCAAGCAAGTGTCCAAGCAGAAAGAGGACAAGAAGGACGGAGTAGAAGAGCCACCAAGAGGAGCTGATTCTTCTGCATCCACTCCTACGAAACAAGAAGATCTCCTCACTCCAGCACAAAAGAGTCAGATTATTATTGATATCGAGAAGAATCCCGGCATTCTATGGAAAGGTTTGTTGAAGCAATTCCCTGTCTATTACAAGATTGGTGAGCCCTACCAAACAGCATTCCGAAACCGCTACAACTATCTCAATCGTATCAAGCGAGAGACGCCACAGAGGTATTGGGAGCTCTACGCGAAAGCTGGAGAGATCATTGCTCAGTCCCTCACAGGTACTAGTTACCGAGAAAGCACCACGGACATCATTGACGAAGAAGAAGAAGCCACCAAGCCTGAGCCTGAGAGCCAACCCACGCCAGCAATTGTGGAGCAACAAGACGACGGCACAGTTGTATCGACCTTGACAGAGCCAACGTTGAGAGGAAAGCTGACATCTCCCAAGAAGGCCATTATCTACAGGAAGCAATACACGCCCAACAAAAAGAAACCAACCACTCCTCAAAACACACCACACAGGACTACAGTCACGATGCCATCATCCAAAGCATCCAGCTCCAAGAAGTCTGGCTCATCAAAAGGCTCCACCGCTGCATCCTTTAGCTCTCCTACAGGTAGCAAGCGTCAGAGTCGATTCGCCACGCTGGATGAAGCCAAGCAGTTTGCCGACGAGACAATCATGGTTGACTTTGATTTCCCTGAGAAGAATGGTGGCCCGATGCTTTGGGTTCAACTCATCCCGGAATGCACAACCAAAGATGGATCGACGATGTATGACAAGATTGATATCCGACTCGCAACAGTCATTGACTTGTCCGATGCTCATCAAATTTATGGATGGACTGTTCTTGAAGGGCGAGCCTTTCTCTTGCGCATGCCATGGGTCCCCACTTACATGCTTCACTTTCACAGCAAGTTGCTAAAAAAGGAGAAGAAACCTTGCTCTCGCACCAAAAAGAAGATGGCTGCTGCTTGCAACGCCATTCTCAAGTCTGAAGATGAGGAGAATGATCTTGAGCCTCGTCGTTGGAAGCATGTACTCTTTGTCTTCCCCGATGAGATGGTTGTTACATCTGACTTGGAATCTGAGACAGCTTCTATCCATGACCGGAAGCAAATGTTGAACCTCCGTTTGATGCAGATCAAGAAGACTCTCGTTGGAGAAGGAACCGATCAAGAAGAGATGGAACAAATGTTCTTTCCCTCTTTCTTTTCCTTTCGTGTGATTGATGAGGATGCCGAGAATGAGCTCAATCTCAAGACCAAAAAGAAGAAGGGAGTGTCTCTGAAGACTCTATTCAAGGGAATGCAACTCAATAAGAAAGGTGAGCCAAAGTTTGATGATGACTCTGAGTCCTCTGTTGCATCCAATGTGTCTGGCTCCAGCTCAAACGCTGAGGAGGAGTCAACAGCATCGGAAGGAACAAAGAAGACGAAAAAAAGCAAGAAGAAGACGAAGCGGAAGCCCAAGAAAAAGAAGACAAAGAAGAAGAAAGCCGAGGATAGCGATGGAGGCTCCAAAGCTGAAAGTGGCAATGGAACTGACGAGGAAGAGAAGGAAGACGATGACGATGCTTCAATGGCATCCAGTATTAAGGAGATTTCCTATTGAGCAGGCACTGCATGCATCCTATTGAATCGCTTGTTTGCTGCTATGGATCTTGATGGCTGCCAGGAACAACACGGGTATACTACTTCCTGTTTAAAACTCTACTAACCAATGCTTTGATATTACTCTTTCAAATAGAATCAACTGAATCGGAAGGAGGAAGTAGTGACGAGGAAGAAGCATCAGCTGTCGCGTCGTTCGTTGACAAGAAAAAGCCATTGCCAGTGCCGATGCCACCATTGCCACCATTGCCACCTTCGCCACCACACATGCTCCCAAAGCCAAAGCCAAAGCCAAAGGACCCACCAAAGCCAAAGGACCCACCAAAGCAACAGGAAGGAACTGAGATTGGAAGCACCGTTCCAGGTTCTATTGTACTTGTCAGTGATGATGACAAGTCAAGTGCTAGCAAGGCACCTATCAAGCGACAGAAAGAGCTTCTGAAGATGTTTTCATTTGACATTGTTGACTTCAAAACCAAACGCAATGAAGACTACAACACAGCACGAAGGAACAAGAGAGAAGCTCGATTGCGTTTGGTTCGTCAAATGGATGCCTTCCTCCTTAAGCGGGCCCGCCAAGAGAGCGATGCAACCACAGAGGAGGGAGCTGGGATCGATACAAGCTTCGAGGTCACCAATGCAACCATCGAAAGAGTTGACAGCCGAGCTGCCGAATCCACCAAGAATGCATCCGGCACGGGAGGAGATGTAGAAGAGTTCATTGACAGCCTCAAAAATGGGTTGGACAATGCGTTCGATGAAGCAAAGAAGGAACTGAATGAGATCTCTGGATAAGTAACCTTGACTCCATACTCTATTTGCGTTTATCTACCTATGCAAGTGATAGAAGAACTATTAAAGAATTGCTTTTTTCTTCTTTTTTGCTGCAGCTTCTCTCTTCCTTGCCAACGTTTTCGATGCCTTTGAAGTGTGACTGTTGGTGCTGATTGCTGAGTTGGTGCTGATTGTTGAGTTGTCCTGGTCCCTTAGGAGTGTCTCTATTCCTTCGTTGAGTTTTTCGCCCTCAATCTTCTTTGCCAACCTCTTTCTCTCATCACCATCGTTAACCACTCCTCCTCTTTCGACCAAATCAATTGCCTGGTCAGTTGCAATGACTGGACGCGCAACACGCAGTTTCTTCTTTTCAAACCGAAGGTTGCTCTCTCTTTTCTCACGTCGTTTGACCTCTTGATAGATATGGTTTCGGAATACAGTAAGCTCATACTCTTGATACTCCCTTCTCGATTTGTAGATTGACTCTGGCTTAATCTTCTTTCCATTTGGCAAAATTTGCAAGTGAATGCCGTCGTCGATGTCTTTTTCAAGTAGTTGCTTTGCTGCTGATCGATGCCAAGGAAGGCTCTTAGGTGGATCCTTGTCGCGCCTCTCCTTCAGGACTGCCATATCAATACCGAAGAGCATCACATCCTTTGCCATCCTGTGATAGTCGCGAGCAATACTGTCTCGGAGCGTGTACAGGTTGGACCGAAACAAACTCAATTCCCATTTCAAAAACTCTTGTCTTGATTCATGCACTGCTTTGGGCTTCATTGCAGGTGTGACTCTGCCTGAGATAATATCATCTTTCAACAGAGCTCTAGCTTGGCTCTCTGCCCACGTCAATCCATCAACGGTGGGCCTCTTGGCGCTTGTTTTGGTCTTCTTCTTGGCCATGGTCGAAGTGTTGAATAAACTGTTGAATGCAAGCGAAGTGTTGAAAAAACTGTTGACTAACTGTTGAATAAAGTGTTGAATTCGTTCAACTGTCTGTTGAACTGTATTCAACAGTTTGTTCAACACTTTGCTAAAAGATACAAAAGTGTTGAATAGTGCACCCCTGGTTCAAACTTAGCAACCGCCAAAATTGAAAATATCGCACAGTTGACTGGGAGCCTGGCCATCGCCAGTCGCCAAATTCAGCTTTTGCCACACTTTCCTGTTTCGTTCTTCCACCCGACGTGTACAGTACTGTACCTGGTACGGTGGCACTTTACCAGAAGATTCGATTCGATTCTGATTCGATTCGATTCGATTTTCTCGTTTTGAGTGTTGAAACTGTTGCTGTCCAACTCCACCGCATACTGTACTGCTTTCGAGGAGGTCACACACCAGAGCTTAGTAAAGCTGGTCCATCCCTGGGTCCCCCCTTTGTCTCCCTCTCTATGCCCAACCACGCCAGGCACCCCTCCGGGTCCAACATCTTCATCCTCGTTGCCCACAACGCCTTGACCAACGCCCAGACGGAAAGGGGATTTACCCCTGGTTCATCTCCAGACCCCGCACCCCACACCAGCGAGACACCAGACCCGGTCCAGAACGTAAGTCTGACCATCGCAGGGACCTTATCCAGGGCTTACCGCTCCTATACCTACCCCAAGTCCATCTCCAGGCCCCACGCCTGGTCCCTCGTCGCCTGGCTGGACTCACCCTGGGATGGCCCATCTACATACCAGGTTCCATGAACCTAACATTCTCTTATCCCTAAAGGTACGGTAGGCATGAAGAAGGGACGACCAGCATGATGCCAACTCGGTGACTTTTTACTTCTAACTAGCCGTAGCCATCTAGGTAGATGGCACAGGGAAAGGTACATGTAAGGCGAGGGGATGCATGTATGTACTGTTTGTCATCAAATCAAAAGTTATCTACAGCAATGGAACCACATGAAGGATGTGAATAGCGTGGCTGCGAGCCTACTTTTGGGGCAACCGAATTTGGTCGAGCATCTTGAAGTGTTGTGGAACTGACACTAATGTATTCGCTGTGATGGCACCAGATGCCGCAGTAGCAGGAACTCCAATACCAGGGAAAGTAAAGTCACCAGTCAAAAGAAGCCCTTTCAGGGGAGTGGTGTGCCCTGGTAGAGTTTGTTTCCCCGCCTCCACCCTTGGACTATGTGGACATAAAGATGTTGCGGGTGAGTGGCTGGATATACGGCACGTTGATTGCACACATCCATGGGGGCACGACAGAGCAAAAATCTCAACTCACCCATAAGCTCCCCTCGTTCTTCGAAGAAATCGTTCGTGGGTGAGAGGTGTCCCGATTTGTACCGTTCCGGGAACAGCTCGATCTCTGGCATTGGGGACATATTGCTCAATGGCAGACCAAAGGAAGTCAGCCGCTTCATCCTTCTTTTGTTTGTACTCGTCCGAGTTGCGATCCATTCCAGCCCACCATTCGTACGGTTCCGTGGCAGGAACGTAGGCATGCAACACATGTTTTCCTGCGGGCGCCAACGTGGGATCGATCAAGGAGGGCATACTACATAGAACAATATTGCGGGGTGCTTCCACTCCTTCCGGTAAATCCCAGTCTTTGATGACGGCCCACTGTGCCGGGAAGTCCGCGCTCGGCTTCTCTGGAAGCCCCGCCGCATCAATGCCGGCATGAATGTGGATAAAACTTTCAAATCCGGGATACCGTCTTGTGTTGGATCGGTTTCTGTGAGCTTGGCCATGTACTCTTTCATGTCATTGGATATGTCAGCTTTTGATAAGAGTTTTTGCGTGACGTATGGATCAGCATTTGAAACCACTGCATGCTTGGCTCGTACTACTTTGCCATTGTTGAGTTTGACTCCGCATGCTTTGCCGTCTTCCACCAAGATTTCGTCAACGTGCGCATTCAAGCAAACTTGTCCCTGATACTTTCGAATGGCTCTTACCAGAGTCTCCACAATGGCCCCACTACCTCCCTTTGGAAAGTCCAGAGTGACACCAGGGCGGTACCAATCAGCGAGCATGTATGCTATAACCGCATTCATCGTCCCCTCAGCCGGTAGCCCCTGCAACAGGAAACAAAGCATCGACAACCTAGATTGGATTTTGGAGGCAACA